ATCATAATAAAATCATGAGTATTGTATGCATTATTCCAAAATATAATGTATATTTTCAAAATCATCATTACATATATGATCATCATACATAATTTTAAATTATCATTTTAGGCATAATATGCATGATTATCATCATACCTTCTCCCCCTTTGTTATGAACAAAAAGGAGAAGTGCAACTGGTAAATTTTTAGATATGCAAGCTAGAAAGATAGTAAGTTAGAACATGCAAACTAGCAAGTTTTAGAGATATGTAAGTTTAGCAATTTTTTGCTTCTTGAGATGGGCAAGATAGCACTTTTTGCTTCTCTTTTGAGATATGCAAGCTAGCAATTTTTGCTTCCTTTCAAATGTTCAAGCTAAAAAAATTAGCAATTTTTATATCATTTTCAAACATACAAGCTAGCAATTTTGTTTTTTCTTAAATTGTGTAAGCAAGCAAATTTTGGTTCTCTTTTGAGATGTACACACTAGCAACAATTTTGTTTTTCTTTACAATGCGCAAGTTAGCAAGTTTTTCTCCCTGTATGTCATTGTCACAAGTAAAGGGAAAGATATAATAGTGTAAAATATTTCAGTCATTACAAGATATACAAGCCATAAATACAAAGAAATCATGAAAGATATAATATCAAAGATCATAAAGGATTAAGTCATGAATACTAAATGACATGATTTTTTTTTGACAAATCTCTCTTTTAGAAAATAATAAAAAGAAACATGGGAGTTCAAAAATAAAATTTTGATTCATAGAAAAATCTCATGTATCAAATATCGAGAAATCAAGATTATGATTTGGATAAAAAAATAAATCTTAACCCATAAAATTTTCTCGTAAGAAATGCCAAGTCATCATCATTCTCACGATGGGCATGATACGAAATCAATAAATTTTTAAATCAATATTACCTAGGTATGCATGATACCAAAACATAGTTTCAACTCTTCAATATATAACATGCATAATTTCAAACCATTACATACAATTATCTGTTGAATCTCGTATTTTGATGATGAAACCACTTGATATGTGTTTATGTTTTAATCTGTATTTTGAGTGATGCAGGATGTTTCGATCAGGATGAGACAATTAAAGCAGAAAAAATCATGTTGTGCCAAGGGAACATGTCAGAAGATTGGACGTCGAGCCGGCGGATCGGTCGACGTATCAACAGAAGGCTTCGGGTCGTGGACTCGGGCATCGGGCCAAGAAGAGCGGGTATTGCACCAAGGATATTAGAGTTGCAAAGTCAACTGGCCGATTGGGTAATAGGCCGCAGGAGAGGACGATGCGCCGAAGAATCGGACGAAGCGTCGAGGGACCAATGACATGTCGGACAACTTGGTTAATTGCTTAGGATTAATTGTCTTAATCGAAGTTTTATTTTACATGTGTAGGATTAACTACAATGGATGTAAGACATGCAGCAGGAGTTGCACCGGAGTCAAGACTATGATCACGTTGGGAGTTCGAGAGTTCGACGGAAGTCCGGACAGTCATCGGAGGTTCTACGGGATCAAATCCGAGAAGTCCAGGAGCTTGCCAAAAGAAGCTCATCAGAACTCGCCAAGTGGATCGTTGCAAGTCAGGGAGTTTGCCGGAAGTTCGCAGGAGCATCACCGAGGGTTCATCGGATGATCGACGGAAGTTCGCCGGAAGCTCACCGGAAGAAGCGATTGATGCACCAGAGCAAGTTGTAGTAAATGTCTTAAGAAATATCATAGTTAGCATGTAGATTAAGTTAGGAATGGGAGGTGATCCCATTAACTTAATCTGGGGGCAATTGGGCCCATGACAGACCCAAATTGGACCGAATGGATAAACCCATTTGGACTAGAATTCTTGTTAGGCGATGGCACCGCCAGGGTCGGCGGTGCAAATGCCCCAAGCAAGCGGTGGCACCGCCTGGGCTCAGTCTCCGAGCGAGACTAGGCGGTGCAACCGCCCCTAACAGGCGGTGCAACCACCTGAGCTCGGTCTCCGAGCTCTGCCAGGTGGTGCAACCGCCCCTATCAGGTGGTGGCACCGCCTAGAGGCTCAGTCTCCGAGCTGTCAGGCGGTTGTACCGCCCCAGTTAGGAGGTGGTACCGCCAGGACCCCGGAATTTCGGGAGATGATAGTTTTGAGCTCCAAATTCAAACTGGTTTGGGGCCTATAAATACCCCTCTCATCCCTGGTTAATTCACACAAGCATAGAGAGCAAAAAAGGAAAGAAATACTATAGAAATCAGTTGAGAAATCCCTCCTCTAGCTTAAGTGTTAAGATTTTGTTTTATAGAGGAGAGTGAGTGCTTGTAAGGGTTGTCTCCTAAACCCGGTAAAAGGAGAAGAGGGGTGTAAGAAGGAGGTTGATCTTCTCCTAGTAAAGGAAGATCGTTAGTGGATGCCAGTTGATAAGGG